GGCATTCACTGACTCACTCGAGGGGCCCACAGTTGCATTCATGGTAGAGGTTCTTCCGGTGCGAAGTCAGGACAGGATCAGCAAGGGACATAGCAGCAGTGTTGGGAAAATTCCATCTCAGGTCTTCAGCTCTCCCTGCTGTGAGGGGCCGCATGGACCGTGCCCCTTTCTCCAGCCTTGAAAAATGCCATATTTCTGCCTCAAGGGGCTTATTGGAGACTTAGTACCCAAGGTTTTTACTGGCTGCTTATGTGGGCTTCTTCTGTCTCTTCCCAAAAGGAGAGCAGATATTCCCCCTGAACATACCCAAATAATCCAGGCACCGTGAGCTACTCGCATCAGTTAGTGAACTCTTGGATTACCCTGGGTCAGTCGGGTAGACAGAGAAGATAATCGTGTCAGACCTGCTATGGTTTCACTTTTCTTCGCACACTGCCTTAAATAGGAGTAGTGTGCAAAGTACTGTGCCTATTGGGAACCCCTTTTGTTTATCCTAAAGTTATTAAATAGGTTCTATAAGTAATTATCTTTAGTGGTACTTGAATTATTTATTTTATTTCTGTTACATCCTTGTAAAAGTCTGAAAAGATCTTATTACTGTGGGTGTTCGGGTTACCTGGTTACTTTTTGCCTTGGATTTTCACTTTTCTGTCATTTGACCTTTTTGCATCATGTGTTACTTTGATCATCAGATAACTGCTTCACTTAAGGTTAAAGTGAAGCACTTTAAGAACAACAAAGCATCCAGCCAGTAAGTGAAAGCAGGGACCTCACAGAGCATTTGAAGGAGCAGAGTGAATAAAACGCATGGTTTGGTGTGTTTCTGTTCCAGGGATGTTTCTGAAGAACACAAGGGACTTTCCTTGGAGGAGGAGACTGTGTGGCTAAGAATCCGCTCCTTAACATTGAGGCTCATCAGTGGACTGCCCAGCCTGCACCACCCCATCGAGCCAAAGAATTCAGAGAAGACCACCGAGAACGGCATATCCTCCCGGATCGACATTCTGCGCTTGCTCCTTCAGCAGTTGGAGGGGGCCCTGGATACAGGAAAGCGATTTATTGAGAAGCAAATTCAGGTATAATAAGCGCTTACCACTAAAGCTGCAATAATTACAGTTAGGACTTGACATGTTTGAAGTAGGTAAACAATAAAGGGTATTATTTGGGCTGTTTTACGGCATCTGTAGGAGAGGGGTATAGATTCAGAGGGACTTAGAGAGGCCTCCTCAACCTATATTGATCAAAAAAGAAAAAAATTGTTTAGCAATGACAAATTTTTAGTAGCTACTAACAAATTAAAGCAGCGTTCCTGGTTTTGCCATAATGATTTCGTTACTACTTTGCTGATTATCAAGGGTTCGTAAGTGACCGTTTAAGGCAGGTTTTGCTGGAAGAGTTAGGTGCCTTGTTTTCTCTGTATAATTCTGGCCATGTCTAAGAGACGCCACTTGTCCCTTTCTTCTCCAGTACCCTTTCCTTGGCCCTGTGCCTACCAGAATGGCTGGATTCTTCCATTCTGGCTGTCCGCAGTGCCAGACCCGCTCTTTTCATCTTGTTAGTGATGTTTTTGACCTGGATACCAATGGTGTAGGTAAGTGGACACTTGCATTTCTGTCATTGAAAACAGAGCAAATGCTGCAAATTGTATCTTCTAACATCTGGGAAGATTACTGGTGGGCGGGTGGTCGTGGAGGAAGCTGCTCTGGAAATGCTTATTTTCCCCTTCTCTTGGTCGCTCACGGTTTCTCATCTCTGCCTCTTAGTAGTGGAATTTAGGTAGCTATAGCTCTTCAGTAAAAAGTTGTCCTAGCCCATCATTTGTTTGCAGGTATTGATTTTGTATCTTTGTCCTGTCTCCCACCCACCCCCCAAAAAATGAACGGAAAGATTTCATCTTCTCTTTTTCAATTTTAGAGGATACAACAGAGATCCAAGAGCGAATAGAGAATAGCCTTAAGTCCTTACTAGAACAGTTAAAAGGTAAATGTTCGGCAAGGGTGGTGGTGGTGGTGGTGGTGGTGGTGGTGGTGGTGGTGGTGTGTGTGTGTCAAATAAATAAAAGGTAAATGTTCTTTCTTTTAAAATCATTTTACTGGGAGCTCTTACAGATATTATAACAATCCATAATTCAATTAGATCAAGCATAATTGTTCAATTGCTGCCACCATCAGTTTCAAAACATTTTCTTTCTTCTTGAACTCTTGATATCAGCTCCCCTTTGTCCCCTCCCTTGCTCCCCTACCCCCCACTGAACCTTTATTTTTATATTGTTATCATGATTGATTGTCATATCTTACACCATCCAGTGTGTGTGTTCACCTACAATTCTGTTATTCAGTCCCCTTGAGTGGGGCTGTGAAGTCATCATCGTATCAGCTCCCTTTTACCCCCTTACTCCTCTCTTCCATACCCTCAAGGGAATCATTACTAAAGGTAAATGTTCTTAAAGTGGATTTGACCACTCACCCCAATGTATTATAGTATTGTATGTATTTTATCTGTTAACAACTCAGTTTTTTTATAGAAACTGTGGGAAGATTAGAAAGTAGTTATACTCTGGGCATTTTAAAAGAATTATTATTATTTTAATCTTATTATTGGTGGCTCTTACAACTAAAGAATTATTTTTTAAGGCTTAAAAGTTATTATATATAGTAAAAGTAAGAGTTGTCTGTTATAAATAAAAGAGTATGCAAATAGGTGTGGTCTTTTTCCTTTTCCAGTCTTGTTCCCTCAGAGATAAGAATGTTTAATATTTTGGACTGTGTCCTCCTAGATGGAATACACGTATAAATATATATAGCAGTGAATTCTTTTAGCATGAGGAAACTATGTGGACACCCATAAACTTGTTTTCATGTTATCGTGGACACTTGACTATGTCGGCCATGTAGACTCTCTTCAGGCGTTTAAGGGCCACAGTACATTTATCTTGTGCTTCCCATTTAGTGCATCATGTTTTATATACGTGAGTTATTTCTCTTATCTATAAGATGCTGTGATGCACATCTAGGGACATAAGAGTATGGGTGCTTGTTTACATAGCCAGTTCCTTAGGGTTCACTTTCTAGAAATGGAATTGATTGGTAAAAAGTACACTTTTAAATCTATGTCTTTCTTTTCACTTACACAGATGACTTATTATCCAAATGTAGAGTGTCTGAGAATTAAAAGGTGATCAGGATTATTGTACAAATTGTAGTCTCGGTTATGGAAATGGATTCCTGCAATGCAGTTTTGTCTTTAGTCCGTAATGGCACGAGTTCTTCTAAGCCATTCACTTGGACTCCTGACTTTTTTGTACCCACAGCCTATCTGTGGAAAGGTATGGTTTGTGTTTCAGCTGGTGTGGGCAGTACTGCCCCCTGGGAAGTACTGGAATGATCCAGTGGGGGCTGCAGAAGCAGATACCTACACTTTGTTCCTGATTTTGGGCTGTAGCATCAAAATTTTAATTACCAGTAGGGCACTGAGTAATTAAAAAATTTTATTTTCCCGAAAATGGAACAGTAGGCCAAATATGTTTGGGAATTATGGTTTAGAGTATAGAATACACAATTCATAAGGCCACCTTTATTTGAGAAAGACAGTACAGCAGAAATCCCATGACTTGTCATAGAATTTCCAGTAGATATCCTGTAGTAGTTGGTTCTTTTGGGAAATGCAGGGGGGAGCTTCTATATTTGCTTATTTTTCATTAGGTTGTACATTGGATGCCTAAAATGGCATTAAAATATACTGACTGAAACCCTAATTTTTGTTTGTCTTCAGATGTCTTCAGTAAGTGTAAAGGTGACCTCTTAGAAGTCAGAGATGGCCACTTGAAAGCGCATCCTGCGCTCCTAGAAACCCTTGTCTTCTTTGTCGAGGTACGCTTCGTCCTCCTCATTCGTTACTCTTAGAGTTCACTTCCCCAAAGTGAACCCCGTGCCCCCCCACCCCTTATTACTTGAATAGCCATTTTAACTATTGTCTGAAGCAAGTCTTCTGTTTCTCTTCGTCTTCCTTTCTGACTCAACTCTCTAATGCGTTTTAAGTTAAGTCCTCCATCTTCTCATATGTATCCTTGTTGCTCACCAATTGTCCAGAATCTGCAACGTGCAGAAGTGTCCCGGAGCTGATGTACCAATTTTCCTCCTGTCTCGCACTAGATAGAATCTAATTTCTTTCAGTCACGTGTTTGTTTATATCTTTTCTGCATTTCCTTGAAGGCAGCATACTTGTTGCAGTGACTGACACATTGTAAGGGCCTAATAGACAATTATTGTATGAAAGAGTGAGTGACTGAATCATAATTGCACATATATGTACATGTATACGGTACAATATAGAAAAAGATGTATAAATCGTCAAATACAGAGCAGGACATATGCTTTCCAAGTGAAAGATTTCTCTGTTTACATGGGAGGTACAGTTTGTAGCCAAGCTACTGTCTTTCTTACCTGGTCAGAGAAGTGGCTCAGGAGATGCTTATTGTAATGGCCCTTTGGATCCCATGCTTAGAGATGTGGACTTTGTAGTGAGTGAAAAGGGTATTGAGGACTCATTGCCTCCTATTGGGAAGTGGCAGGATGCTAGAGTACAGTGCAGCATGAATTTAGAATTAGTAGAGCCAGAAGGAAAGATAAAGATTCTCAAAAATATGAACAAGATATTAAGGCAGGCCTACATCGGAGTGGTGATTGTAGAGATGCAAGAGTGGGGGTTGGATTTGGAGGAGCAACTGAAAGGGTTTGTCTTAGAACAATGTACAGGATCCGTCTATGTACTGCATTGCGTGTAAATGTTCAAGAAAGGTATGTGCAGTGAATCCCTGGTGATGAGCCTCTGATTTTTCCCTTTCAGACTATTTCTATTACCCTTTGGGTGTCCAGTTACTGTGAGAGTGTCCTGAGACCATACAAATTAAATTTGCAGAAGAAGAAAAGGAAGAAAAAAGAGACCAGCATCATCATGGTAACAGCAGAAAAACACAACAGTCTGGAAGCCACTGCTTTTGCTTTTCCCTAATTGCCTGCTCGTTGTAGGGGTCCTGCACACCCTAGCGCGCAGTCTCCTGCTTCCTGCCTCCCCACAGGCTTTTCTTTCTTTCTTTCTTTAAATTAAGGAAGTATTTACTAAATTTCTACATTGTGATGGTCTTCCATCCGTAATCAACTGAATATCCTTTCCCCAACAGCTTTTCAACTAGTGGTTTTAGCATCCCCGGAATCACTTCTTACGTCAGTGGTCTAATTCTAGTGATCCGTCGTTAGTTATTGACATGATTTTGTAAAATAGAGTTCTTTCAGCCCATTGTAAATATTCATATAGATGTGAAAGTACTTTCAAAAATTGGAAATTTTTCATGATCTTTTCCTTTTCTCACAAACCTTTTGAAGCTCCCTCATATTTATATTTTTAGTATGTAAATATAAAGGGGCTTCAAAAAGTTCTTGGAAAATGTGTATTATGAAAAACTGCATGTTGGTTTCAATTGGTTCTGCCCCAAAATAAACCCATTTTAGTTTGACATAGCATGTCTGAACAGGATCTCGGTCCAGGCACTGTAAAGAATGAGATCAGTTTGAAAAGGGCCTCAATCAGAGCATCCTGAATTCTGCTAAAACCGGAAAAACAACAAATTTATGGGGATGCTTAGGTGAACAAATGGTGGTCATTGATGCTTTATGAAAAGTTTATGGGGATGGTGTATCCAAGAAATCTCAGGTTATAAATGGATATCTTATTTTAGGGAGGGACAGCTACCGTTATGAAACCCACAGCCACCGAGCATCCACACCAACTTGCAAGGAAACAGTTTTGTGTCCTAATGGAAGAGGATCCATGGTTAACAGCAGAAGCAATAGCCGTGTTCCTGGGTTTAGCTCCTACAGTTCTGACTGAAAAATTAAAAGTTGAGCAATGTTTGATGTGCTTATTGCTGATGGTACTTCATTTCACTGGACAGCGCTAGTAAATTTATTTACTGATAATCACATCAATTTTTGAATGTACTTCCAGCATCAGTGTTGTTCTCTTCTCCTTTCCATTTCATCTTTATAGCTTACTTTTCTCAGTGGGAGATCTCTGATGTCTAGCAATGTGCTTACTCAGCTGCCGCTTTTCAAAATACTGAATTACTAAATACTTTTAGAATTAGCGTAGTTGTACCACTACTGATCCTATAATAAACTCACTCAGATTCAGGTGCCTCCCCCGCTTCCATTTAGAATACTTTCCAGTGAATATGTTCTGGGATATACGGTGTATATTCTGTGTAATGTACTGTGTAAAAGTACTGGAATCAAAACCATTTTCACTGAGATGGAAATAAGGTTCATTTATGTTCCCCCATATTTATTGTTGTTTAATGTTTTATTGTAGACCATTAATATCATTTTCATAAGGAAAGTTAATTAGGAATCAGTACAGCACAAAACAAGCTGCTTTGTTATTGTTTGAGCACGTCCTTTTGATGTCAAATTTATGCCCGCTCTAGCAACCTACTAACCATTGTCAGTTTGCAGATGTTGATGGTTTTAGTCATAAAATGGACTTCCAGAACAATTCAGCTTAGTAACAATGGAGGAATTCTCTAGGTTAGACACTGTACTGCATGCTATCATTCACTTACAAAGGGTACTTGGGTTCGGATGAGAGACCAACAAGGGAAATTTCTCTCTCACTTTCTCTGGTCAAGACAATTGGCCAGACCCTGAGTGGAATCTGAAGGTGTCGTCTGAGTTGTTCTGTTGCTCTCCTTTCTCCTGAAAGCCTATAGTCCTAGAACTTGTCAAATAGCTTTCTGGTATTTGGAATTGGGGGCTTTTTGTTGTTGTTTTAACCTCTGGTTTTGTTTATTTTTTCAGATCATCAGTTACCCATAAAAAGGGTCAATAAAGTGGCGATCTTTCATATTCTTACCAACCAGTGATAACATTTTAGTGTTAATTTTGAACAATCCAGGGGTGTGCCACCTAGAGGGTTCTGTAACTTGCCTTTACTTAGCTTAGTTGTTCTTTTTTTCTCCCCTGAATGAGGTGTCTTGAACATCTCTTCCCATCAGTGACTATAGGTGTAGCTCATTACTATTCATTACTTTATATCATCCTACTGTATATAGTACCATAAATTATTCCTACCAATAAATACTTGGTTAAAAATTCTTAAACTGTACTAGTGCTATTACAACATGACATTCACAAAGTCAACTTTCCGATGCGATTTCCTTAGGCTGTCATGTTAAATTGAAATTGTGCTTACACATTTTTTGACTTATGATACATATTGACCAATCCCTCCTGTATGAGAGACCAGTTTATCCCTCTACCCTAGCAGTGTTGAGTGAGCCTGTACCCTTGGCTCATCTCATAGGCATTAACCCCCTTTCTAACCTGCCTTTTCTTGACTTTTCTTGATGTTGTGCCTACACAGAAGACAAAGATTTCTTACAGAATAAGATAGCTTTACGAGCTTATTGGCTAGGTTTCTTTCTTATGCTTATATAGTACTCATGTTGAAAATTGTATCCGATGGTTCTTGGATTTCTTTGATACATAACTTAAGTTGCCATTTGTGGTAGCAATATTTTTCCTCTTGATAAATTTTGAGTTACTGAATTTTTAATAGTTTTATTAATCCTCTATCACATATGATCCCTTTTCTTGTAGGTTTGTCATTTAACTTCCTCCACTCCCTGCCCCCTTTGGTTATAGAGTAATTTTTTAAAGGACAAGTTACTGTTTAAAATGGTTTCTATTTTACGGTTATGAACAGGCTGTTTCAACTCATCACCTGCGTTTTGTTTTTACTTTGATCAATTTTTTACTATCTAGAATTAATTTTCATATAATAAATAGTAAGCTGGCATTTTCCCAAAGGTGTGAAATGCCACCTTTTAAGTTTTAGTAGGTCCTTGGGTCCATTGCAAGAGTGGATTTCTTTCATTTTTTTGTCATTTACTTATATACCAAGATCATCAGTATTATTCTAACTTCCAACTGTACCCTGGTTATCTGTATGGCCAGTTCTAAGTTGAGTGTTCTAATTTACAGCATACAGTATGTATTCCCTATTAGTATAGCAAATCTTTTTCTTTCTTTTTAAATATAGCAAATCTTAAAGACATGTTGAGAGTAAAATAAAATTTTGCTTATTCTCCTCTTTTAGTGTACTAGGCAATTTCCAGGCCTAAGCTGAGTGAGTTATAACCAGTAAAGATATTAACCATTGATCGCTCATCTCTAGTTTCTGTTGGTTTCTCATTAAAAAAAACTACAACAAAAAAGCCACCATTATGATCAGCTGGGCCATCATCCCTAATGAGTTAGCAATTATTTCTTGTCAGAGAACTTCACATTGATTTGAGAGACTGTCTGAATATCTAAATTGGTATCCACCCCTGTTACTGTTGCCAGCATAAAGTAGTATTGCGGTAGAATGAAGTTGGCATAACTTGTGTGATATAAGCATATGTGTTAGTCTGGGTACTTTAGAGAAACAAATCCACAGAAACTCATGTAAAAGAGAGTTTTATATAATGGTTAACTGTGCATCAAGAAAACATCCCAAC